CCCCAGGCCTCGGTTCCCCTGTGCCCTGTGTCCACCAGGCCAGGGGAGGGGAGGATTCTGGCTCTGTGGGGTATGGTGGAAAGGACTCTGGGAGACCCGGCTCTGGCTCACAGCAGCCCCCTCGACACAGGGTGGGCTCCAGGGTCCCTCTAATATGCAAGCACACCCTCTCCAGACCCAAGAGAAGATAGGGCCTGCCTGGGTGAGGGGTGGGAGCGACACCAGGGTGGCTCCCATGTGAAGACAGCCTTCCAGGTGAGGTCGGCCAGCCAAATGCTGTCAAGACAAACAGCAAGAGAGAGGACAGTCAAGGAGCCTTTGTTCTTCTTGCCTTTCCAACAGGAGGGCCAAGCCGAGGGAGGGCAGCAAGGATGCCAACCACAGACCAGGAGCCAGAGGAGGGGGTAAGGACATCATAGCTATGAGCAAGGAATCTCAACACAGTCACACGCGGTGTGCAGGGGCCCTTCCAACCACTGCTGAGGATGGAGGCCGCCTTCCCTGGCGGGAACACAACACCAGACCTCTGAGTGGGACTTGGCTCCCCACCAGCCCGCACCAAGAAGGCTCTGGAAAGGCAAGATTTCCCAGTGTCATGTGAACAAGTAGCCAGTGAGCACAGGGTCCCGGGCTGAAGGGCACAGGCCCAGGAGCACACTGGACGCCCGCCAGGGATCTGGCAAGCCTGCAGGAGAGCGTTTGATGTGGTGGTGAGGCTTCCTGCTGAGGCCATGTGCAGACCAAGGGAAGCCCCTTCTCTGGGCTCTCCTCCGTGGCTGGGACATCACATTCTAGCCGGCCTAAAGCATCAGCCGGCCCTCACTGTGCACACCACTTCAGTCAGAAGAAGCACCTTGGATGAAGGAGGCAGAGTGGCTATGGCTTTAGGGAGCAGTCACCTGGTGGCCCCTTCAAGGACACTGTAGAGTGAGGTGGCTCTCTCCTGGCTCCAGTGGGTGTGGCTCTTCTCTTCAGACAGGAAGATGACGGCTGAACCAAGGGACCTTTCTTTTGGCCTGTGCCTCAAGTCTCCCTCACCTCCAGTACTCACGACTCACAGAAAATGCTTATCTTCTGTGCAAACGACTTTCCTTAAGGGTTCTGGAGACCCCGGACCCTTCTCCTGCTTGGCACAGTCATGTCAGGACTCTCCAGGGACAGAGCTCACAAAACACAGGCAGGCCCTGTGTAGACAGACAGACAGACAGACAGGAGGAGACAGGTCAGTATGAACTCTTGGATGGCTCTTACTGGGTTTCACCTGCCTGCATCACTCTCTTTTCTGATGGTCAAGTTTCTCCAGGGGCCTCGTTCACTAAGGCCTTGCCTCCTTTGCACAAATCCCCAGCATGTGTGTGTAGGACCTGTCTCCACACTACCTCCCAGGTTTCCATTGTCCATTCCCAGGCTGGCCTTGTACTCTCTAGGCAGCCAAGGATCACATGACCCTCCTGATCCTCATGCCTCCATCTCCTGAAAGCTCAGGTGCAGGTGTGCCCACCATTTCTGCTTCACAGTGTCTCTGGGGATGGAACCCAGGCCTTCATGGATGCCAGACAAGCAAGCCTGCCCACAGCCAAGCTGCAGCCCCTCTCTTCCCTCAGGAGTGGAGGCACTTTCACAGGGAGGCTCTCTGTGGGCTCCCTTGTCTTCACCTCACAGCAGTCTCCTGGGTCATGCTCCTAAAGGGGAGCTAACAGGTCTGAGCCCCACCATAGGACTCGGCTTCAGAGCCTCCGTCATTTAGAGCTGTTTTCACTATGGAGGCAGGCTAACCTACAATTTCCAATATCCTGCCTCAGCCTCTGAGTAGCTAGAAGTACAGCCCTGGGACCCTGGGACTTGGCTTCAAGGCACTGATGAACACGTGTTATTCAGAACTATGAAAAACAACAACAACAACAAGGAAGATTGGTGATGGAGCTGGGGTCATGGCTGTTGCACCATTTTTAGACCTGGTGTGCAGCCAGCTGAATCCATGCCCCCTCTCAACTGTGTCCAGGGCAGGATTCAAACACAAGGGGTCTTGGGGGGAGGGGGCGTCTTAAAAATCTCTTGAGGTTGCCCTTTTCCACAACGTGGAAACAGATTACTTTAAAAATGACAGTCAACGGCAACTATTTCAGTGTGAGCAAAATACTAGCATTTTCAGGGAAGCCACGGCCTTACCCGGCCATCACAATACCCTGAGAAGGGCAGGGGTCAGCACTTGAGGAAGGCAGATTCGGGGAAGTTCTCTTCTCTCTGCAGTCTTACTATGAAGCCAAGAGCTCCTGCTTGCTAAGTCCCAGACCCCTCCAAAGCGACGACGACCGTTGAAGGTAGCCACGGGAGCCTGGAAAAGGAAGGACCATCTGTGTTGATGCCCATCCGTATCTTCTGTGCGTCGGACAGAAGCGTCAGGCACCAACAACCCCAATACTGTTTTGGAAAGGAGGCTCTCAGAACTTTTCACTCACGTTTGACATTACCAGACCCTCAGTAAAATCGCCGCATTTCCTTGCTTCTGACCAGGAATTGAAGTAGAAATACCCAATCCAAGAACATATTGAGCCTGAATGGGAGCCATGGTAAGTTTGAGACTGGGGTACCCGCCCTCTGCTGGCCGTTAGTTAGTGCGTGATGACGTCAGCGTTGTGCTCGCGCATGATTGGTTGTCAGTTCCCTTTATCTTAGGATTGCTATTGCTGTGATGAAAACCATAACCAAAGAAACTTGGGGAGGAGAGAGGGTTTATTTGACTTAGGCTTCCACATCAAAGCAAGTCAGGATTGAAACTTAAGCAGGGCAGAATCTTGGAGGCAGGAGCTGATGCAAAGACCGTGGAGGAAAGCTACTTACTGGCTTGCTCCTCATGACTTGCTCCAGCTTGCTTTCTTAGCGAGCCAGGGACCACCAGCCCAGGGATAACACCACTGTAGTGGGCTTGGCCTTCCTGTCTCAATCACTAATTAAGAAACTGCTCTACGGGCTTGCCTACAGCCCAATCTTATGGACGCATTTTCTCAACTGAGGTTCTCTTCTCTTTAATGACTCTAGCTTGCGCCAGTTGACATAAAATTAGCCAGGACAGTAAGTACCTCCAGGGTCATGGCCACTTTCTCCACAACGGACTTTTACTGACTGCCCAGTTACAGATGCTCTGTTCCATGCATGCCTGAGACCAGTGGGGTGCTGAAGAAGACAGTGTCTTTGTCTCTAACCCATTTGAAAGTGTCCTCTCTCCATCATGTGTGGTTGACATGATCTGCTCCAGTTTCTCATAGGACATGAGGTATCAAAATGCAGATGCCTCACAATTCTGGTTACTGTCAGGGGAACCTCAATCAGTTGCATCTGAAGGTCTTAGGACCTTCTGGATATATCACACTCTAGTCTTTATCACAATCAGGAAGCTTCAAATAGAACATTTGGCTTGCCTCTGTTTAGGAATCATTGCCTAGAGGTCCTAAGAGCTCACCCTCCCAGTCTGGAGGCAAACAAATAGAGGCGTTGTACACCCTGGGGGGCAAGAAGTGAGACTGAAATCTGCTTTGTCCTCATGTGACATGTCCTTCAGAAAACTACGGATGACATTTTAAATGTAGCTGATGCGCTATCAAGATTGCAGCTTGCCTGGCTTAAAAGGTCATCTTGAAGGGCTGTAAGACAGCTCAGTGGTTAGGAGCATTTACGGTCTTGCTGAGAACCGGAGTTCAGTGCCCAGTATACATATCAGGTGTCTCACAGCCATCTGTAACTGTAGTTCCACGAGATCTAATGCCATCTTCTGGCCTCCATGAGTGCCGGCACCCAAGTGGTGATTATTAACTCATGCACACACACATATATATATTCATTTTTTTAAAAAAGTCATCTTTACTGTTGTGGATCAGAAAGGAAATGTGGGCACAAATTCCATGGTTCTGTTTTAACACTATCTTATTTTTTTTTAAAGAGCTATCTTTATTTTCTTTTATGTGCATAGGTATTCTTCATGTGTGTATATACCAGCTGCATGCCGCACACGAGGAGGCCAGAAGAGGGTGTCAGATCCCCTGAAACTGGAGTCAACAGACCGCTGGAAGCCCACACACAGGTGTTAGGAAACCACTGGAAAACAGTAAGCACTCTTAACTGCTGAACCACCTCTCCATCCCAGAACACTATATTATATGTTATGTATATATATACATATACACATATACATATATATGTATATATATTCATTTATACACATATATGCTGTAAATAAAAACTAACAATTGCTTCATCGACCTTGGGTATCCTTTACTCTTATGTGAATTTGGCTTTTTTATAACATCTTTTAAAAGGGTATTTGCTTAGAGAGGTAGCTGTTGAAAACATAAGCAGCATTCAATAGCTCCATCTTAACACATTTCTCTTTTCATCCTTTACTGGACCAGCACAGGCACTATCCCCAGGTTGCCCGCTGTTCTGCCTCCCCTTAGGTCAGCTCCAGGACGGTGATTCCCTCTTGTCTTGAGGCTTTGGCAGATTTGCCATAAGCCAATAGTGCAGTTGTGGTATAGGGACAACCCTGGCACGTTTGAGGAGAGGGCAGTGCAGGGAAACAGGTGGAACACGGGTAGGGAACAGTCCTGTTCAAATAACCCATTATCCGCAGACACATCTAGTGGGTTGGAGTGCACCACTGAGACACCATGAACATAAATGCACCCAGGATAGTGCAATCGTGAGCATGACTGAGACGCCATCAATACAAAAGCTCCCAGGATAGTGTGATCGTTAGCGAGGCTCGGGATAGATAGTTAGAACTATGGGTATCAAAGCATTATTAAAAGGGGAGGAAACCAGCCAAGTCTCTGACCTACAAATATTTTATGTACTTTCTCCCGCTTTGACTTCTGATCACTCCTCCACAAATACGGTGACTGACTGGTCTAGGCAGAATAGAAGGGATTCCAAGAGATCACCCAGGAGAGGGCCCTTTTCAATGCTCACCTGTGTCGATGCTCGCAAACGGCCAGCAGAGGGCGCACGTGGCCTTTGGACTAACGGTCGCTTCCTCGCCCGCAGTCACAGACCTAGGTGGGTCATTTACGTCCTGGCCCAATTCCTAGCGAAAACCACAGAACAAGCTGCCTTTGGTGAGGCTCTCAAATATGGGTGGAGTCTCTCAGCGTCAGATGGGAGTGAAAGGTTCTGAGAGCCTCCTTTCCAAAACAGTATTGGGGTTGTTGCTGCCTGACGCTTCTGTCCGACGCACAGAAGATACAGCTGGGCATCAACACAGATGGTCCTTCCTTTTCCAGGCTCCCGTGGCTACCGTCAACGGTCTTCATCGTCGCTTTGGAGGATTCGTCTTGTAACGGGGTATTTAGACCACCTCTGTTCTCCAGCGCCAAGCTCAGTTTAGTCCGGCCAAGGGACGGGCTCCTGCTCACACACTTGGCAGTAGGATGGAGGGGAGGCTGCCTGCAGAGCCTTAGCTGAGCAAAGAGCCTGGAGCCCATGTGTAAGGAAGCCCTCTTCCCCACCGGCCAGGGCAAACCCTCCACTGAGTGCTCTTTAGTGCTGAGAGACAGGGCAGCGGCAGGGGTCTGAATCAGCAGCCTGGCAGGTCCACCCCTGCTGGGCAAGGTGCAAGAGGGGTCTGGGACTTAGCAAGCAGGAGCTCTTGGCTTCATAGTAAGACTGCAGAGGGAAGAGAACTTCCCCGAATCTGCCTTCCTCAAGTGCTGACCCCTGCCCCTCTCAGGGTATTGTGATGGCCGGGTAAGGCCGTGGCTTCCCTGAAAATGCTAATATTTTGCTCACACTGAAATAGTTGCCATTGACTTTCATTTTTAAAGTAATCTGTTTCCACGTTGTGGAAAAGGGCAACCTCAAGAGATTTTTAAGACGCCCCCTCCCCCCAAGACCCCTTGTGTTTGAATCCTGCCCTGGACACAGTTGAGAGGGGGCATGGATTCAGCTGGCTGCACACCAGGTCTAAAAATGGTGCAACAGCCATGACCCCAGCTCCATCACCAATCTTCCTTGTTGTTGTTGCTGTTTTTCATAGTTCTGAATAACACGTGTTCATCAGTGCCTTGAAGCCAAGTCCCAGGGTCCCAGGGCTGTACTTCTAGCTACTCAGAGGCTGAGACAGGATATTGGAAATTGTAGGTTAGCCTGCCTCCATAGTGAAAACAGCTCTAAATGACGGAGGCTCTGAAGCCGAGTCCTATGGTGGGGCTCAGACCTGTTAGCTCCCCTTTAGGAGCATGACCCAGGGGCCTGCTGTGAGGTGGAGACAAGGGAGCCCACAGAGAGCCTCCCTGTGAAAGTGCCTCCACTCCTGAGGGAAGGAGGAAGGGGCTGCTGCTTGGCTGTGGGCAGGCTTGCTTGTCTGGCACCATGAAGGCCTGGGTTCCATCCCCAGAGACACTGTGAAGCAGAAATGGTGGGCACACCTGCACCTGAGCTTTCAGGAGATGGAGGCATGAGGATCAGGAGGGTCATGTGATCCTTGGCTGCCTAGAGAGTACAAGGCCAGCCTGGGAATGGACAATGGAAACCTGGGAGGTAGTGTGGAGACAGGTCCTACACACACATGCTGGGGATTTGTGCAAAGGAGGCAAAACCTTAGTGAACGAGGCCCCTGGAGAAACTTGACCATCAGAAAAGAGAGTGATGCAGGCAGGTGAAACCCAGTAAGAGCCATCCAAGAGTTCATACTGACCTGTCTCCTGTCTGTCTGTCTGTCTGTCTGTGTGTCTACACAGGGCCTGCCTGTGTTTTGTGAGCTCTGTCCCTGGAGAGTCCTGACATGACTGTGCCAAGCAGGAGAAGGGTCCGGGGTCTCCAGAACCCTTAAGGAAAGTCGTTTGCACAGAAGATAAGCATTTTCTGTGAGTCGTGAGTACTGGAGGTGAGGGAGACTTGAGGCACAGGCCAAAAGAAAGGTCCCTTGGTTCAGCCGTCATCTTCCTGCCTGAAGAGAAGAGCCACACCCACTGGAGCCAGGAGAGAGCCACCTCACTCTACAGTGTCCTTGAAGGGGCCACCAGGTGACTGCTCCCTAAAGCCATAGCCACTCTGCCTCCTTCATCCAAGGTGCTTCTTCTGACTGAAGTGGTGTGCACAGTGAGGGCCGGCTGATGCTTTAGGCCGGCTAGAATGTGATGTCCCAGCCACGGAGGAGAGCCCAGAGAAGGGGCTTCCCTTGGTCTGCACATGGCCTCAGCAGGAAGCCTCACCACCACATCAAACGCTCTCCTGCAGGCTTGCCAGATCCCTGGCGGGCGTCCAGTGTGCTCCTGGGCCTGTGCCCTTCAGCCCGGGACCCTGTGCTCACTGGCTACTTGTTCACATGACACTGGGAAATCTTGCCTTTCCAGAGCCTTCTTGGTGCGGGCTGGTGGGGAGCCAAGTCCCACTCAGAGGTCTGGTGTTGTGTTCCCGCCAGGGAAGGCGGCCTCCATCCACAGCAGTGGTTGGAAGGGCCCCTGCACACCGCGTGTGACTGTGTTGAGATTCCTTGCTCATAGCTATGATGTCATTACCCCCCTCCTCTGGCTCCTGGTCTGTGGTTGGCATCCTTGCTGCCCTCCCTCGGCTTGGCCCTCCTGTTGGAAAGGCAAGAAGAACAAAGGCTCCTTGACCGTCCTCTCTCTCGCTGTTTGTCTTGACAGCATTTGGCTGGCCGACCTCACCTGGAAGGCTGTCTTCACATGGGAGCCACCCTGGTGTCGCTCCCACCCCTCACCCAGGCAGGCCCTATCTTCTCTTGGGTCTGGAGAGGGTGTGCTTGCACATTAGAGGGACCCTGGAGCCCACCCTGTGTCGAGGGGGCTGCTGTGAGCCAGAGCCGGGTCTCCCAGAGTCCTTTCCACCATACCCCACAGAGCCAGAATCCTCCCCTCCCCTGGCCTGGTGGATGCCGGGCACAGGGGAACCGAGGCCTGGGGGACTATGGAGTTGGTTGTGCCCCAGGCAGGGTGGCCCAAGGTTCCTGGAGACTGGGTATCAGGGTCTGCCACCAATGGCCCCCTTTGCCCTGCCACTGTGAATGCATGGTCCTCAAACCCAATGCCCCTCCCACTCCTGGAAGGTACTGGGAAGTTCCTAAGAGATCAGACCTCACCCCTCCTGGGCCTGGCTCACCTGCTCACTGCCTTCTGGGCTTGAGGTGCTTGAGCATCCTCTGCTTTGTCTAGGTCGTAGTCTCTGGGCTTTGGTTCATTGTCCTAGGATGTAAGTTCAAAGCACTGCTTAGTAATTCTTTTCTTCTGGGAGCTAGCAAGAAAGGGGGAAGCATTTTCATAACTGGTTCTCTAGGCAGGTGCAGTGAAGGAGCCTATAAATGGGTAGGTGTGGAATGCCAGGAAGCCTCGGTACCCAACCCTTTCAGGTGGCAGTGGTCAAGCCAGGTCCTGGGGACAGCTGTGGTGGAGGCCTTGCAGGCTGTGACCAGAGGGTGAGTCCTGGAGCAGCTGAGCCTGGGTCTCCCAGCAGCCCGGGGACCTCAGTTAGCACAGGAATGGTAACTGGCATGGGGAACTGGCCTTGCTCAGGATCCACTGAGGATCCCGGAGAGCCTGGCCAGGGTGAGGGCCACGGTGGTGGGGCACGCTGCCATTTCACAAGCTGGTCTGGAGGCAGTAGTTTCCGGGATGCTGATGGAGAGTATCCCTGCAAGCAAACAGGGACTCCAGAGGCTGACCTCGGGTCCTGGCTCCCTGGACCACAGTGGCAGGACCACATCTGAGTGCCAGGACTTTAAGCAGCCCCTGAAATACCTGGTTGGACTCATTTCTGATCCCCACTCCCTGTCAGGGTGAAGAGCCTGATGCCCCACTGTCCATTTGGTTTAAAATCCAATGCCCCTTCCTGTTTCCTTTGATGGAGACACAGGCAAACCCTGGGCTGTTTTCCTAGTCTGCTGAGTGCTAACTCAAGCAAGGAGATTCTAAACCAGGATGAGAGAAGCTGGTGTCGGGGATGGGCGTGCCTCCCATATTGCCTTTGTCCGGATTGCCTTGGCATCTTGGCATTTATGACCTTGGTACGACCTTCATCTTGCTGGTGACAGCACTGGTCCTTGGGGACTCCTGGAGTTTCATCCCCTTCCTGTGGGGCAGACAACCATGTGCTCATGGGCACTTGGTTTTGTGGTCCTTGGGTAGCTGTGTTCCTTGCATTAACCACAGCCAAGCCCTGTCCGTGGTTCTGGCCTGTACCGGCCTGTACTCCTGAGTCACATCATTCCTCCACAGAGAGAGCTCTGTTCTGGGATGCCCTTGGGCCTGGGTCTCCTGTTTCCCTTCCTCTTAGTCAGTGGTGAGGTTGCTGAGGCAAAGGCCAGCATGGGTTTCCTCCCAGGATACTTCGTGCTTTCCTTGTAGGATGTCTCAGGCTTCTTGGGCTCTGTGACGTCTCCTGTGGTCCCTCTCTGTGGTTGCTGATGGAGTCTTCCTCTTCTTTTTTTTTGTTTTTTTTTTCACTCTTTTCCACCTCAGGTCTTTTGAGCACATTTGGGACACATGAGGGTAGCACTGTCACGTGCTGGCCCAGACTGTTCAGCTCTTTAGACAGTGTGACTCCTGAAGGCTTTCTGGGCAGCTCTTCACAGGGCTCAGCCACGCTCCAGGGATGAGGGAGCAGCAGCACCTTCACCACCAGCCCTTCGGTCCCGAGGCCTCTGGAGAGTGATGCCCTTGGGGCCCCACCTCTCTGTTTCATATTGAGATATCGTAGAACCTTGGTGCTTTCTCTCACGTAATATTTTTAATTTCAGATTTATGTATCCACACATCTGCAATGCATTTTCTAGTTTGTCATACACATATGTCTCCCTTTTGTATAATTTAATGCATATGAAAAATATAGTGTCCCTGCTGGTTTTGTGGATCACACTTGTAATCTGGATGTGCAGAAGGCTGTGTTGGAGGAAGATATCTGTGAGGTTAAGACCAGTGTGTGCTTCTGTTTGAGTCTCTTTTTAATGTATGAGTCTTGTTTGTTTGTTTAACAAAGCTAAAAGATACCTGTGTTCTGTGAGAATGATTATTCTCAAAAAGAGTTGTCATTGAACATTTAAAATTCCTTCATCATCAAGGAATATAACTATTTTCATTGTCAAACACCATGATTAAAAGTCTGACAAGATGGATATTGTTTCATTCACAGGAAATACTGAGCATTCTGTAAGTGTCCTAAGAGTTTCTTCTTTGTTTCCAAGTCTGGCTAAGAAGATATTCTCAGAATAACCCAAATATAATTAGCGGCTGGAGAGATGGCCACAGGTTAAGAGCAAGGTTGCTCTTGTCGGGGGCCTGGTTATCTAGCGCCCACATTGAGCTTGTCAACTATCTGGGAGTCCAGTCTAGGGGAACTGCCCACCCTTGGCATCAAGTTCATGGCATACATGTAGGTAAAATGCTGATACACAAAAAATAAATCTTTTTAAAAATAAAATTATTTATATAAAAAAATGCCTTAGTATAGTATATAAAAAAGATTTTTTTTGAGACAGGGTCTCAGATTAATTTTTAATAAGAAGGAAACTTTGATCCTACTTTGTTTTTTTTTTTAAAAAACTATTTTTAATTGTGTGTGTGTGTGTGTGTGTGTGTGTGTGTGTGTGTGTGCAGGTGCCAGTGGAAGTCAGAAGTGGGTGTCAGATCCCTTGGAACTGGATTTATAGGTAGTTGTGAGTCACCTAATGTGGGTGTTGGGAACCAAACTGAAGTCTTCTGCAAGAACAGCAAGTGCTCTTAACTGCTGAGCGATCTCTCCAGCCGTTCCCCTAGCACGCTCTGGGTGTCACTGGCAATGGAAACATTCCAGGAACGCCACACCGGTAGCTGCCTGATTAGTTCTCTTTGGAGTTTTCCCACTTGGTCAAAACCAAAATTCACAGCTATGATGGAGAACCATTTCAGGGGGAGTCAAACATGAAAAGAAGCAAAAAGTACTCTGTTGTGATATTTTTATTTGTGCACCCCAATAAAGCTTATCTGGAGATCAGAGGAAAAAGCTAGCCACTATATTAAACATAGAGGCCAGGCAGTGGCAACACACACGCCTTTAATCCTAGCATTCCAGAGGCAGAAATTCATCCGGATCTGTGTGAGTTGAAGGCCACACTGGGAACAGAGCCAAGCAAGGTGGTACATGCCTTTAATCCCAGCACTAGTTAACCAAAGAGGTCTGGAGGTCAGTATAGACAGACAGGAAGTGATAGACTAGGTGGGCGGAAAGAGGAAGTGATGTAGCTGGGCGGAGAGAGGAAGTAACATGGGCGTGGAAAGGTAGATAAGCATAGTATACAGGAAGTAGCTCTCTCTGGAGGCTGAGGAGTTGGTAAGGTGAGGTCGGCTGTGGCTTGTTCTATTCCTCTGATCTCTCAGCTTTCACCCCAATATCTGGCTCTGGGTTTTTTTTTTATTGATGAGACTGTTTAGCAATTCGTCTTACAGAGCTCCAGTAGAAGAATAAAGTGGACAAGTGTGGAGAGAGTCCGGTGTCTCCACAAAGGGTAACTAAGAGGCCCTGGTGGCTCTCGTTACATCTGCACAGGTTGCTAAGCAACCACACCTTCTTTCCAACACTACTTAAAGTGTATACAGTATGTACCAAAGGTTAAATAACTTTTCTCCATTAACAAAGCTGTGAACGGCATTACTAAGGTCTGGGAGTGGGGAGTGATGGGAATATAAGGTTATTCATCATTTTAGTCTTAAGTAAGCACAGTCTAATTGCTGTCCTGGACATCACTGATTGAGGAATTACTGGGAATCTCATCTGACCCTAAGTGAGAGTAATTTATTATTGTCTTTGGTGAGATGCCTCTCGGAGAATGCATGTCTCAGTGAACTATTTGGTCTTCCTGTCTTCTGAGCAGTTTAAGCAGACCAGGTCCGAGGAGCAGAGGCCCCCTCTTCCTCCCAGCCCTTTCAAGCCAGGCCATTACAATCCCCCTTCTCTCTATCTTGGACCACCTCCCATCTTGGGAGAACTGAACAGCTAATGCTTTGGACTCCCCGTGGATCTTCACCTCCTGTGTGCCTGTGGGACCTGGAAAGAAGGGAGTCATCTGGACAGGCCGTGCTTGCCATGGACAGTTCTCCAGTTCCCCCATTGACAGTTGCGTAGAGGAGCTATTTTTTCTGCTGGAAGCCATTATATACGTAGAGTCCATTTGATTAAGACAAAGTGATGCTTTCTTGCCTATTTTAAGATAAAATGTGAAGGCTTTAGAGAGAAATCGTCCATTTATTTTCTGGTGGGGCATCATCGAGTGCTTCACCCAAGTGGTTGAGAGGAATCAGTTCTGCTGCCATAGCTGCTAGGAGAGCACGCAGCATTCCTGAGACCCGCGGTGTCGGAGCGAGTGAGTCAGACTGAGCCAGTCATCAGGGTGTGAATAGTGGTTAACAGAAAAATACATGTGTGGGCCATAGTGGGTGCACTGGGTGGTGGCTCTGGTTCTCCCTGGGGTCCTGAGTGCCATCCTATCCTGGCAGCCCTGAAACCCAGGGTTCCTCTCCATGCAGAGGCTGTGTTTTGCAGGCAGCCATGGCACAGCAGCAGGAGGACCGAACGTCAGCACCTCCTCAGAGCAAGCCCAGCCCCGCCACTCACTTAAGGCTTCTGTGTGTGTGTGTGTGTGTGTGTTTGTGTGTGTGTGTGTGTGACATCCTGGGTCCACTCACTTAAAGCTTGTGTGTGTGTGTGTGTGTGTGTGTGTGTGTGTGTGTGTGTGTGTGTGTGTGTGACATCTTGGGGCCACTCAAGGCTTCTGTGTGTGTGACATCTTGGGGCCACTCACTTAAGGCTTCTGTGTGTGACATCTTGGGTCTTCAATGATGTGTCCTTGAAGAGCCAGTTTAGGAGGATATGAAGTTTGTATTGTGGAAAAATTGTAAACAATTCAAATTCCTTAATGTGAAACCATATTAAAAGCCACACTGGGTTTTAAAACTTCAGGAAGCCTGCTTTTCCTGGGAGTTATCCACTGTGCTTTAAAGAAAAGGGTCTGTTTTCAAGGAATGAGGTCCAAATAAAGGCAGTCATAGCTTTGTACTGATGAATGATGAGGGGCATCCTACACAATCACATCTAATTAACTTCCACAAAGTTTAGGAACAAATGAACTATCTCAAGATGAGGTGTATGATGATTATTTTACAACTATTATGTGATCTCTTAGAATTAAAAAGAAAATGCCAATCAACAAAAAAGATTGCACCCACCTAAGTTGGGTGGTTTTGTTTTGTCAACTTCATAAAGCTGGGAAGTGGAAGCCTAGGCTGAGGAACTGCCTCAATCAGATCAGCCTGGGGGCAAGTCTGTACTGGGCATTCTCTTGATGATTGGTGGGCTCCAACCCCACTATGGACAACACCATCCCTGGGTAGGTGGTTCTGGAGTGGATAACAAAGGTAGTTGAGTAAGTAACGAGGGGAGACCCAGTAGAGAAGCACTCTCTGTGGTTTCTGCTTCAGTTCCTGCTTCCAGGTTCCTGTGCTGCTTGAGTTCCTTCCTTGGCTTCCCTCAGGATGGAATGTGACCAGGATGTGTAAGACAAAACCCCTTCCCTCCCAAGTTGCTTTTGGTCATTGTTTCTCACAGTTGTAGAGAACAGAACTAGGACACTTCCTGATTTACCAGCTATTGGTGAACTTATTAAAGCCACTCCATGTAGTTAAAAGGGAGGTTTATTTAGTGGCATAACTTATAAATGAAGGGATAGGTAGGTTGCAGGGTCTGGGGAAAATGTAGCACAGTCTGGTGGTGTTCTCTGGAGAACTCTGCTCGGTCTACCTCCAGCGTCCAGGATCCAGGAACCAAGCAAGAGAAGACAGCACATCTGGATCTCGGGTCTTCAGGGCCCTCTCTTGGCCCCCCCTTGTAGGTGTGACAGTTACTGCAGACTCAATGGGGGTTGGAATTTCCAGATCAAAGCTGGAGTGGCTACCCACTACAACCAGCCCTGCTGGCTATTCTTATGTCAACTCAACACAAGCTGAAGTCATCTGAAAGGAGGGAACATCAACTGAGAAAGTGCAAAAATGCTTCCATAAGATCTGGTTATGGGGCATTTTCTTAATTAGTGATTGATGAGGGAGGATCCAGTCCATTGTGGGTAGAGCCATCCCTGGGCTGGTGGTCCTGGGTTCTATAAGAAAGCAGGCTGAGCAAGCCATGGGAAGCAAGCCAGTAAGCAGCAGCCCTCCACGGGCTCTGCATCAGCTCCTGCCTTCAGTTTCCTGCCCTGCTTGAGTTCCTGTCTTGACTTCCTTTGATGATGAACTGTGATATGGCAGTGTAAGCCAAATAAACCCATTCCTCCCTAAATTGATTTGGTTGTAGTGTTTCATCGCAGCAATAGAAACCCTCAGACACCAGCCAATGAAGAAATGGAGGAAGAGACTTGCATTATGGTGATTCAAACAAAAAACAAATCTGCTCTCTGCAGCCAATCGGCACGACTGCCATTCTAGACTGATATCTGACTTTGCAAAGTCATTAAACTTCCTCACTTACACTAAAAATGCCAATCAGGCTTTAGCATAGGTAGGAAATACATAAGACCTCTATGTTAACATAGATTCTTATAGGCTTCTAGCTGTGCTTCTGGAACCCTGGAGTCAAATGCATGGGTGAGATCTGTGTTTACTTCTCCTGGTTTGATAGACAGAGGCTGCAATCTGATCTGAATCTTGCTGGCATGCCTGGAAACTGCCTTATTGATAAATGGCTAGGCAAACTCTGACTTCCCGAATCCCACCCCTGGGCTCTCCAGGACATGTAACCTCTGCCCATTACCACTCACTCAAAGAAGGAGCCATCCAGTTATCCTGCTTACAAAACGATGTCCTCAAGAGAAGAGCAGCTCATGTCCGTGAAGTATTTCAGATGAATCTTGGGTGATTGTGTCTCTCAGAGACCCCGTCTCCTCAGTAATGGCCCACACAGTCTGGAGGCCTCATTGCTCTTTAGGACCAAGAGGGAAATCTCAGTACAACCATTCCCAATACAAGAGAAAAGGGCTGGGGTCATAGCTCAGGGGTAGAGTGCTTGTCTAGCTTTCAGTAGGCCCTGGGGTTCAATCCCCAGAAACACAAACGGGGTGGAGAAAACAACTTTATATCCTTGAGATGTGGCTTAGTTGATAGAGAAACCCACCTAACATGTGCAAGTCCATGTGCATCACTGCATACACCACCAAAAACCAAATGGAGTTTTGATGGAGTGAAGAATGAGGTTGTGCTTCCAATGTACCCCTCGACATACCAGTTGCTTCACATGATCCTCTGCTGGCCATTGCTCTTTCGTCATGGTTTTGTCTGGCCCTTGTCCAGTTTCTAAGATGGAAACCAGACACGAAAAAGAGTCGACCATTTTCCATATGGTGTAGGAGCTGGGGCAAGAGAGACATGGAACGGGAAGTACTATTATATATGCTGTGTAACTTGTCCTACTCATCCTATGCATCACCCCCATGGCCACTGACATCAGCATTGAACTTCATCGTCCAGGCAGCATGAGATAATAATAGAGTCATATATATTTAGCTTTCAAATGGAATCCGGATCTTTTATCTCCATGACTAGGTTTTTTTCCCCCTTGACTAAATAAAACCCTTCATTTGGGGTACTCACAGACATTCTGATACACCATTAATCACCATAATTTTGTTCTCACTATGGGAAAATATTTGAAATTTAGCCTCATGTGGTTTGTTTTTGTGCTTTGAAATCTGATTCTCCCCCCCAACCCCCACCCCCACCCCCGTGGTTCTCTTACTGTCTCCCACACCATCTCAGTCCACAGAGGAAGGAGAGAGAGAACAGGAAGATCAGTGGCTCTTGTTCTGGAGGAAATGGGTCAAGAGATTTCTGGCTCTGACACAGGTCTCAGGAGGAGAGAGGGAGAGAGAGAGACAGAGACAGAGACAGAGACAGAGAGACAGACACAGAGACAGAGAGAGAGAGAGAGAGAGAGAGAGAGAGAGAGAGAGGAGATCTATGGGATCTCAGTGTGTCTCTGCCATTCCTGCCATCTCCCAGTGGGGAGAATGGAATTCCAGACGCATCTAAGGAAGAGGTCTTGCTTCTGATGGAGCACTGTGACAGAGGCTGTACCACACAAACTATGTGACACTAGCTAGAATAACACAGTCCTGAGCTTTTCCTGGGCCATAAACTGGGGTAGTATTTATAATATAATCTGAGTCCTCCTCAACAAGTAAAACTTGACAACCTGTTCACACAGCATGTAAGGGCCACTGGCACTCGAAAAAACCGCATTCCACAGTCTGCACCTCTCTGGCTTGTAACTCTATCCCAGTGTAGAGACCCAATCAGTCCAACTTAAAGAGTTGCCATTGTCTATCACAGTGACACCAGGGTTACAAGTCACAAGGCCAAAGGCTACATGGGAAAAGCCTGCCCTACCAGTCGGCATGGCCAGAGCTCCTGGGAAAACTCACCCAGGGTCTGAGAGACTGCAATTCACACACACACACACACACACACACACACACACACACACACCACACAAAATCAGTGGAATGTAGGTCCTAAAGCCTAAAAAACACAGAAAGACAGAGAGAGAGAGAGAGAGAGAGAGAGAGAGAGAGAGAGAGAGAGAGAGAGAGAGAGAGAAGAGAGAATATCACTTTCAGGAATGGAAAGCACTCCATCATATTATCAAAAAAATTCCATTTTCTGTGTTAAGAAAAAGGCGTGAACAAATTTAATTGCGGTCCTCTACTTCGAACCCTCCTAATTTAGTAGAGAAAGGATGGCCAGGATCAAGAGAGAACATGGAGGACATAATCCAGTTGAATGGAATTTGCGGTTTTTTTTCCTGGGGGTGTGGCCTGTTGATGGGCGTGTCCAAAGCCTTCCTTTAATAATCCTCCCTTAAGCCAGTCAGCCCTGGACCCAGGCTCATTTCCCAGTGAGCTCTCAGGAAGACAGAGGCAGAGGGGAGGCTGTGGGAGCAGACAGACCTGAGTGATCACAAGTCAGGAAGGCAGGATCTGTGAATTCAGAGGCGCTCAGCCCTTCTTCCAAGAGAAAGCAGCCGGCAGAGCAGAAGGGAGAGGATGGAGAGCCTTGTGAAAGTGGGGTACAGCCCAGCAGGGGCTCAGAGACCTCTCCCCTGACACAAGGTAGGGTTCGGATGGTTCTGGACAGACTGATGGGCTAGGGAACCACGAGAGACAGGTCGGGGTAGGACAGGAAGGAAGGTGGCAGGCTGCAAGCTCGGTGCCCTCAGAGTCCCAGAGTCGGTTGGTGGATGCAGTGGTCCTGGGCTTGGGTGGGGAGGGGCGGCGGTGAGGCTCCCCTTTTTTGCCAATGGCTGTGCCAGCCGGGGTTTCCTTTGCGACTGAATTTTTAGGAGCTTTTGCTCAGGGACATCCCCAGTTGTGTGTACAGGAGTGTGTAGGCCTTGGCGAAAGACAGAATGGGGGTTTTCGGGGGACTAGACCGGTTTTCAAGCCAGTCTTGGAGTCTGGCCTCATCCAGTGGGATCTGAGACCTGCAGAGAAGGGTTAGGGACCAGTCACTAATGACCTCATCTCTCTGCAGACACCAGAGGGCCCAGTCCAGAGGAGGCCAAGGACTCCAGGCAGAGTTCGGGTGGCTCCTCCTGCAGAAGCCACCAAGGAAGAGGCCGCCCCAAAGAGAAGAGGAGAAGGGCAAGGCAACCTCCCTCCAGAGAGAGAGGAGGAGACAAGGCTGAGTCCTGCCTAGCCAAAGAACACCAGGCAAGAGGTAGGTGTGGGCTGGGGCTGGGCTGTGAGGGCCCTGGATCCTTAGGAGCTGACCAGAGTGTGGGGAGGAGGTGTGGGGTGGGGGCAGATGTGACCTGCGTTCTCGCGGGTTAGGAAGAGGGACCCTCTGGCGTGGGGGTGCTGGTCCAGGTGGTGGGGGTGGGTGCCGAGTGAAATCGGTCTCCAAAGTGAGTATTTCCGGTAGTCTCTCCCACAGACTGCCTGCACAGAAGACCGCGGGTCAAGGACAGAAGGCCCCAGCCGAGATCTCCCTGGAGGAGTGTCAAGCGCAGCCTCAGCCCCTCTGGAGACTCCCACACTGCTGCTCCTCCACACAGGTCAGCCAAGAGGCTCAGGCAACATTCTCCAGAAGCCCTGTCATCCAGAGCGCTCTCACCGCTGTCCAGAGTCATGATCCGCATGGGGGCCTTGGAGGTGGCCCTGGAAGAGCTGCAGGCCCCTGGAGGAGCCTTCCTGCACACTGTGCCCCGGAGCAGCCCCAGCACGGAGTGCACAGTCTCTCAGCGCGCCTGGCTCACGTGGCAGCTGGCACATGCCGGGGCCGCGCTCAATTGGGCGCTTCACACTGTCAATCACATCTTGGCTGCTCAGGCCTGGCTGCCCAGATCCTCCCAGGTCCATGCAGACTCCACCTTGGCTCCAGGCCAGTGCCCACCTACTGGAAGATTCCCTGGGAACCTGGATTATGGAAAGAAAGCCTAAAAGGACGACATTCATTAGTCCACCTTTCTGAAACCTGCCCGATCCCATGCCTTGGGGATTCTCTGAAAAAACACCGACTCTTGCAAGGAAATCTGCAAATGGAGGTCCCTTATTGTACAGAAACATTCCCACTCTTTTGGACAGGCTCACTCAGGCCAAGTGGCTGTTGAACACGGTTTCTTTCTGCTGGGCGCTTACACACTGCCTGAAATCCACACTTTGCACAGGAGCAGCAATCCTGACTGCCAGCTCGTCTACGTGTTTGGATATGGAAGAAATTCAGCCCACAGCTCACACACAGTTCCCTAGAAGCTCTTTGTGAGAGAGTCCGAACTTCTAGTCTTTGAAATCTGTGATGTGTTAAGTCTGGCCTCTTACTGGATTGATTGCTTTCTAGTTTGTAGAAGCAGAAGCATTTCCATTTTGTAACGCTCATAAACCGTCGGTTTTCACAACTCTTCTCAAGATGTGATATATCTGCGTAGAATGCTTGTGGTGGATGTACACTCAACTCTCAATAAAGTATTTATGGTTGTACACTATTTGTCTTTGTGGATTAATTAGAAGTAAATTCCAGGATCTCTCTCTCTCTCTCTCTCTCTCTCTCTCTCTCTCTCTCTCTCTCTCTCTCTCTGTGTGTGTGTGTGTGTGTGTATGTGTCTGTGTGTGTGTGTGTGTGTCAGCAAGCACTGTAGTGCGAGACCAGGTGTGGGTGTGCATTCCAAATGCTTCCAGGATAGAGCTCAAAGTCTTAGCACAACTTCAGAGTGTCAGTTCTTCTCTTCCTTCATGGGTCTTTAGCAGGGTAACCTCAGGTCCTCAGCCTCAGTGGACATTTGTGTTAGTTTGTTTGGAGACTAGGTCTCAGTAGGCAGCTCTGCTTCTCCTGGAACTGGATCTGTACAGCAGACTCCCTTCTTACTCACATGGATGTGCCTGCCTTGGACTCCTGAGT